TGGCCGGAATGTTGTGCAAGCATAAGGCTAGGTAGAAGTTTTATAAATGAATTCTCTAAGGGCAGGTTTACACCATTTTCCGGACCAGATCTGGTCCAGAAAATAGTGTTAACTTGCCGCAGTTCCAGTGCATTCCAGACCAGACAAAATGAGACATGCAGTATTTTTCTGGTCTGGTCTGGTCTGGAACGGACTGCGCTGATGTGAACAGAGGCCAGAAATAACATAGGGATACGTTAGGATGCATTTTGAGTCCAGAAACAATCTGGTCTGGTCTGGATATGATCTGGATGTGGTATGAATGGGCCCTAACAGTTTGATTTGCTCAAGGAAAAATTCCCTTTGCTTGGGAATGTTTCCTTAGTTTAGTGAATGAGGTGAAACTTGACTTTCATCAGTTAATCGTAAAAATATACAGTTTTTTTTTCTTGCTTTCAACTAGGCTTAATGGTTAGTACTTCTGCCTTGCAGCACTGGGGTTCCCCATTTCGAATCCCGGTCTAGACACTATCTGTAGGGCTACAAACAACTATTCAGATTAATTGATAATGAGAATAGTTGTTAACTATTACAACTACAATTACAATTTGAAATGGCCAATAGCAGGCTAGCTATTTCCCCAGCGCACTACTGGCTGTACTTATTCAGCTGCTGAATCTTGCCACTGGCAGCTGTCATTCCCGTGCCATGTGCTTACAATACAATTATTTGAAAACATTTTTTCAAAAGGTGGGGAAAAAAAATCATTTTCGGTTTTGGCCTGACAAATTTTGCTGCCATTCATTTCAATGGCACCCTAAATGCGCCTCCCATCCACAGTGTGATCTTCCGCACTGGAACACACGGTACCGCAATGCCATGCATTTCAGTGCTTTGTGGTTGCAAACATTTTTGCATTCAGCTCTATTCTGATGTAAACATTATGTTTGTAACACTCCATTTGTGTATTTTATTTTAAATTAAGGATGGTATTGATTTGTTATTATTATTATTATTATTATACAGGATTTATATAGTGCCAACAGTTTGCGCAGCGCTTTACAATATAAGGAAGACATTACGATCACAATACAATTCAAGACAAGATTTTATCCGATCAAGCGAAAAAATAATCGTACAACCAATCGATTATGAAAATAATCATTTATTGCAGCCTTAAAGGAGAACTATGGGGTCAGTGTTTTTCCCCATAGTTCTCCTTAGGGTAACGGGAGGACACAAACTAGCGTCCTCCCGTTACTCTAAGCTCAGTATACCGCGAGCTACAGCTCGCGGTATACTGAGACGCCGGAGCGGACCCCAACGTAGATGACGGGATCCACCCAGCTGCGTGAGTGACAGCTGGCTCTGCCTATCTAGAGGCAGAGCCAGCTGTACCCGCCCCCTTCCCCATCCGTTCCGCCAGTCAGCGCTGGCAGATCGGAGCGGGGAGAGGGGAATACAGCCCCTCCCCCTGTCATGGCAGAGAGCCGTGACAGGATCGAGAGGCGAGTGAACCCGGTATGTGTTCGCTCACCTCCCGATCTACTGAGCCGACCTGTGACAGTCTCATTGTCACAGGTCGGCTAGAACTATGAGGTGAGTGAAAAGCACTCACCTCATAGTTCTCCTTTAACTAGCTGCATAAAGTTTGCATGACCTTCCTGTGCGTGTGTGGATTTCCTCCAGGTAATCCGCTTCCTCCCACACTCCAAAGAAATGCTGGAAGGTTATTTGGCCCTGTGTGCATGTGAGATAGGGACCTCAGATTGTATGCTCCTTGAGGGCAGGCACTGATGTGAAGGTGCAATGTGTGTAAAGCGCTGCATAAATTGTTAGTGCTATATCAATAACAATAATAATAATCTCTACAAAGTAAATTTTCACCACATTCACTAACAAAAGTGCCTATTTGACTTTAGTAAAACAACCTTTAAGAGTCGGACACCGTTTTGAAAACAGTGAACCTCCAGTGTGGATTATATTTTATCTACACATACTACATAATTAATATTGATAGCATCAAAATTGTTTAAAATGTAAATTATTTTCAGTTTTTATAAAACAAACTAAAACACTATAAGGAGCACTCATAACAGTAATTTTTAAAAGTTCAAACTCATTTTTTAAACTATTGCTTCAACTGCTCAAACACCACTGGCAGTTATATAGTTTGTTCCAACCCATGTCACTGTCACTATGGTCAACGTTGACACATTTACATACAGACCAAGTTGTCCACCAAAAGTGCTTGAGCAGTTGAAGCAAAAGTAAATAAATAAATAAATATTACCCATTTAAATAATGACTGTTGCAAGCACCCCTTGTAGTGTGTGTTTTAGTTTGTTTCATAAAACAGAAAATAATTTATATTCTTAAGAAATTATTTTTATGCTATCAATATTATATACATAGTGGATTATTCATAAGAGTTCACTAATGCGCCTAGATGGCACTGATGAATATAGACAATACCTATAATTACCAGAGCCATCTAGGGGTGCTAGCTGCGTGCGAACGATATGCGCCCTGGGTATACGCTGGGTGGAACTTGTTTAAATTAACCCTATATTATGTGGGAATAAAATATAATCACCTCAACTGCTCTGTTTTCCATTAGTCTACTGACTCAACCCATTGCAACTGCTCAGGCACTATTATAGTTTGTCCCAACCCTTGTCGCTGTCACTTGCTGTGATGGAAAGCTTGGTTGACGTGCAAATATAGAAAAATATAGCCAATTACTAAATAATATCACATGTTGTAATTGCATAATCAATAGTGTTTGAACACTGCAATAATATCTTGGATAATGTTCCATAATTTCCTCCTAATGCAAATACATGGCTGGTTCATTGCTCCCATAAATAAACGATTGCTCCCCTGATAAAAGCAAGCATCTTCACAGATACCTCTCAATGTCCAGTGTAATCACGGGTTTAAACAGATGCAAGTTCATGCATAGCAGCCCACAATGGCCTCTTAGGAGTAACACTTGCCCAATATTGACTTGATTCATATGGAGAGGCATTTACTTTAGTTCAGATCCCTCAAGTATCATTTTTACATTTCTATTCATTTCATGAGAGATGTAAAACAAGACAGTTACTTTTCAGTAGGGTTTCTACCTTCTATCAAGGATCTTTCCACACAGCCAGTAAAAAAGGGTTCTTGTAGCCAATGGTTATTAACTTTTGAGAAACATAATACAGAATAAATGTAAAGCAAATATGTTGCGCTCGGTCTATGTGAACCAACTGCACACTAAAGTGTTAATAAACAAATCTGTGTAAAAATTACAACAATCCGTGTGAAAAAATTGATTCAAGTGGATTATTTACATATGACTAGAAAATACAGAATAAGGCTATTTTATAGCATCCCTATTGAGGACCAATTTGCAGTTCATGCTTCTTATTCTACGAATAAATTTTTTTTCTTGTAGATGTAATCTATGCCGCTGTTTTAGCTTGCCGCTGAATGATTTAAACTGCAATAGCTAGCTTCTCACATGCTGTTTAAAGAACTTCTTTTGTTTTAAGCGGTGGGTAAAAAAAAGTGTAGATTGAGCATAAATATTTGATTCTTTGCTTTTCTTCATGCCACCTGTACAGATGTATGTACAGACAAGAGCATATGTGCTAATTTGATCATTTACTATGTTACCCATAGAACAAAGACATTACAATAGCTGAAATGAAAGCATGGAGTATCTATGTAGAAATTATATTTACAAATAGGAAGTTTCAGTAAAATATAGGTTAGGTGTTTTTATAATTATAGTATGTATGTGTCCTTATCTTTTTTATTATCGCAGTTAAGTACAACTGAGGCCAGATGTGATTAAGGCCTCTTCAGCTCTTAAACATTGCTACATTTCATACAGTATTGATCTAGTATTGGATTGCCTTACCAACAGATATAATCAATCACTGCAGAATAACAAAAGGAGTCAATCATGTAATCGCTGCTTTTCTGTTCCCAGCTCAGGTGCTGCCAGCATCCCTTCTATAATGATCATGATCAGTGAACACAGGCATTAAATAATCATGTCTCCTTTTCCACATAACTCTCATCATACATGTGTTAGAAGAAGACAGAAAGAGGAGATGCTATCATTCTCTGCTTATACTTATTACATAGTAGGTGGAAGAGAAGAATGAGTGAGGGAAGACAAGACAATGACTACCTGCTACCCCTTAAATGATGCTTCTTGAATGTTGGCATCACTAAAGGGTTAAAGGCAAGCTATAATGGTTTTGAATCCATTTTAATTGTTTTTTATTGTGAAATATTATTAGTTGTTAAACTGTTATATGTGTTTTAATATATATATATACCATCTTTGTTTTACACATCAACATTTAATGTATGACAAAGTATTTTCATAGTACTGAGGGTTAGCAAAGGTGTCGGTACAGCATTAGCTGCCTGCATTATATTTCACTTTGTCTGACTTTACCCTTGTACAGAGCTGTCAAATAAGGGACAAGTCACTGCCATGTGTCATTCATTCACTTGTCAGTAAATTGCAGCTTGAGCTATAGAACTCCACAAACATCAAAGCGGCTAAGGAGAGCCAGTAAAGACATGAAAAGGAGCCTCAAGCTCCTTCTGATAATTCAAAAAGAGAACACAAAATATTAATTTCCAACACTTCTATTGCATGAAAATTGTCTGCCTTGCTAGATGTTCTGCTTATTTTCCCGATGATATTGATGCCCTTGTATCACCCACCAAGCAAAGCTTCTGTTTCTTATCAGAGTACATCTCTAAAGTAAGAACCCCGCACAGAATTCTATTTTACATACTCAAAACTAACTAAATTATTGAAGTGTCCTTTGCCTGCTAATTATAAATGTTTCTGGGCATTACACTGAATCAGTGGCTCGCAGACATTGCATTACATACTGTATACTGTACATTCTGTTACAATTCTGGACAGTCTGTGAAAGCTTATCTACTTGGACACTACAACAGTTAATCACTATATTAAGTTTCCTTTTAAAGATGGTTTGTACCTTAAAACCAGGTTTCCTTCCTCTCTTCTTTGGAATTTTTACAGGTGGGATGGATCCAGCTGAACCAGAATAGATGTTATGGACTGTCATTTTCAGAGCATTTGAGTGGAGTGGGGGTCTCCCTCGTTTTCTGCCAGGTATTCTAGGAGATTGCATCTCCAAACTCAGGTCTTTCACAGCGAATAAATAATTATTCATGCACCAAACAAGACCTAAAAAGGAAAGCAGAGGGAACCATTTATCTCATTAACAGCAACATACAAATTAATGTTTGCTCATGAAATTGACACGAAAGACACTTGTTAATAAAAAAATAGAACAAAACACTGCTGCAGGTATAAAGTACCTGCACATATCTGCGGCAACCTTCACAACTTGCTCTTTCGTATATTTTTGGCAAGTGAGGCTGTCCACCATAGTAATGTTTCAATAGGAATGTGGGAGGTAGTGCAAGCTCAGAAAGATCCAGAATTTGGCTGTAAATGAAAGGGTATTGGAGGCTCAGAACCAATTATAAACTCCTCAGGCTACTTATCATGCTGCAGACTTTATGGCCATACTATATAAATATACATCTCAAATAATGCCAATACATGTTTTCTGTGTTTTGTGAATTTGTCATTTTCCATGCGAAAATGGGTAAAGAACAGTCAGTCTTCCTAAAAATCTTATGAGCATTGGTCCCAGCGCAGTGAGCAGCTCCTGCCCTCAATGTATCCCAACAGTGATTCTCAGCTCTCTTTACAGGCTGGCATATGTATTAATTAGTTTTAAGGTAAAACAAAGTAATAATATTTTTTTGTTTTGAAGCCAGAAGACAGGATAGAATCACTGCTAGGTATTTTATGGCTGCCTATGTCCCCACTATGGAGATTTGCCCTCACCTCCTGTCCTGTGTCACAAGAAGCAAGGAAATCTCCTCAAACAGAGGATAAACAGCCATAAAAAACAGACACACTGAGTGGCATTGTGTGCAAGAGACTTTGCCCAGACATAACACACAGCTTTTTACTGATAATTTACAAACAAAAGGCACCGCAGGGAGAAAGATATGTGACTTAAGCAGTGATGTGCCCCAGTCATATCACTTGCCTCTCCTCACTACTTGCCCATTCACAAAATGCCTTGGATTTTTTTTAAAGAATACAAGGCATTCTGTGATCGGAGGAGGAGAGGAGGGGGCGGGAATGTGATATCATTTTTCCTCCTCCAATCACAAAGTTATAAATCCTGGGGAGATGCTGTTCATACAGCACTAGTGCCCATAAATGGGAAACAGACTTATAAATGTAAAACTCAAAAAGTGCATGATGTCTATACAATACTTCTTATGTTGCTGGAACTTGAATCTCTGCATTTATTGTAGCCTAGCACTGTGGAAATGCATGCCTGTGTATTTAGGATAATTTAGACAATTTAAGATTTTCTTTTAACTCAGTCCACTCAAAAGACATGTGCTACAAATAAATGATAATAACCAAGCATCTATTGTATATTTAGATCTATTTTATGTATATTTGCTAATATAGTTTACTGATGAAATAAAGGTAATTAGTTGCAGATACATTTCAGTCTGCATGGCTAGTAAACACTGTATAAAAGAAGACAGCATGTGTAAGTCTTAGCACTTATATAGAGAAAAGGTTTAAATCTGGCCGTGTGATTTTAATTATAGAGCTATATTTTTTGTAACTCCTTGAATCGAAGAGGTTTCACATCCACTTCCCTGCCTTCCATATATCAGTTTCCCATAATGGTAGGCTGTGTATCTTTTGTGACACGTTGGATTATTTTATCCATGCATTCTTGGAATTTATATTTTATACGGAATCTTAAGCAAAAACTTGCCATTAAAGCAAATCTAGTTCCAAGAATTCTAGTAGTAAGCAGGCACAGAACATAATTTTGTACTGAGGTTATCATTCTTCTACCATAAACCTCCTGTATAATTACAATACGTTTGGGGTGACATAGCAGGCATGTTCTTTGCCTCATCTTTGGATGTAGGATACACCTTCGTGTACATGGTCAGTAGATTATCTGGAAATACTCGGGGGACTATTTATAAATCTTCTGCCCAGCCATATGCTGGGCGAATGCCATTCACACAACATTCCTGCCACAGGATGGAGCTGAGGCGCATATGCTCTTCAGCTCCATCTAGTGGCAGGAATGTCATTGAATGGCGTTCACCCAGCCTATGTCTGGGCAGAAGATTTATAAATAGACCCCTTGCTGTGGGGCTCATAGTTTTACTATTACAACACATGGGGTCTACAAAGTTCACCATACTGAACAAATTAGAAGATTTAATTTCTTAAATCAGCTTTCACAAAACTGCAAGAGGGTTTTATGTGGTGGATTGCCATGAGTTACAGCACACTGCCTCAAGTTACTGATTCAGGTCTGCAATTATTCACCTAAGGACCTACAAAAAAGCTTCTGCCGAGTCGTGAACTATGGATGCATGACCTATGAAGCTAATTAAATGATTTTGTCTTGTATTAATTAAGGGTTAGCGGTTTCACAATTTCTATAGATGACTGAGCCCTAAAAGCTGCTATGAGACATGACCCTATTTCTAATTATTGGAAAATCTACCAACTTTATAATAATGACACAAAAGCACTCTGAAGAGGGTGATCAGTCATGAAAATGAGCCATATACTGTGTCTCAGCTGCCTAGTGTGATCTTTAAAAAACCCCATAAAGAACGATTCTATTAGAAGATCAATATCATTCATTATATATTATACACATACATACATATACATATATACACTGAGTGGCCAGATTATTATGACCACCCCATCAGTACTTCGTTGGGCCACGAGATAACTCCACGAGATGACTTAGTTGGGCCGCCTCGTGAGTCCATGAGATGTTGAGAGGTGATGCGAGGAATCTGACACTGCGTTCTGCCCTAACATTGACTAGTCGCTGACGGCCACAATTCGCACGCTCAGACCCAGATTTTCGGCTGACAGTCCAGTCTTTAAACACTTTAACAACAGCTGCTCTTGAAAATCTAACAAATTCTGCTGTTTTGCTGATACTCGCTCCATGGTTTCGAGCGCCAACATCCCATGTTCAAAGGCTGTTAAATCGCTGTTTACCCATATCTTCAGAAAAGAATCACTTCTACTGTCGTGGTAAACAACCTGCTTCCCTATTTATAATGGTCTGGCCCTCTAGCAACTTCAGCGCGAAAATTATAGCTAATTTGCCTACAAACGTCAGGTGGTCATAATAAACTGGCCACTCAGTGTACATACATACACACACACTGCCCATTGGATTTTGGAGAAGATCAATATCTTTAAATATCGTGTCATCTTTTTCAAACAGGATAATCCTCTGATACTGCTAAGAAATAATGGCTCTATAGCACAAAAAGAGACAGTTCCAGGAAACAGAAGTAATGTATGTTCACTCCATAGACAGTGTCATACTGACCATGATGCCCATCAAAGGATTGTCTAATTTCTCTTACCACAATTACAAAGAAAAATATAAAAATATAGGGATGCACGGATACCATTATTTTCCAGACCGAGAACAAGTACCAATACTTATTACCGATACATGACACTAAAAAAAAAGGTAACAGTTTTTCTAAAACAATACAGACTAATGATTTTAGGACAGTGTTTAAGAGCCAGGGCCTGGTCTCAGCTGCAACTTCTGCAACCCTGGTAGTTCTGCCACCGACTCCAAGCTGTAGAAGGACTATAAATCCGAGCAATACATTATACAGCAATGCAGAATACCACCAGCTATAGAAGACTACAAATCCCAGCAATACATTATACATCAATCCAGAATAATACCATCAGCTATAGAGGACTACAAATTTCAGCAATACATTGCACAGCAATCCAGAATAATATGAAGCTACATACCTCTGTGTTGCTCACCAGTGCTGCGCACGTCCTCGCAGGCCCTTCCAGGAATGGTTCGCGAGGGAGGAGAAATGTGGCCGTCACTGTAAACAGCCACAGCGAGGTCCCTAGAAGGCTGCCGCGAGGTCCCCAGCAAGCGTGGGACCTTACAACAGACAAATGTATTAAAAATGTAAAGTGCCAGTATCGCCGCTTAGTATCGGGGCATTTTCATGAGTACTCCAGAAAATGTCCAGTATCGGCTCCAATACCGATACTGGTATCGGTGCATCCCTATAAAAATATATTTTCATTTAAACTAGGTCTCATTTTATTACTTGACTAGAGAAACTCCTTTTATTACATCAAACCACATAAACAGGAGATCGGACAAACTGGACTGAACTGTTTATGGTTTGGATGTAGGTGTAGGTTTCTTATTTTTTATATTTGATATGTGTTCCCATCCCACAATGCAAAACAGAATGATGAAGTAATGTATATAAAAAGTGTGAAGAAGCCCAAATAACATTATCACATTTGTTTCCTAGGTGACAGAGGTGCTAAATTCACAAGATTTATTATTCTAAGTTGCTTGTCAAGAGATGCCAAACTGTGAAATATTTAAATTGAATATGTTGAAATTTATGTAGAGATACCTGAACT